AACAACAACAACAACAACAACAACAACAACAACAACAGGCTGGCAAGGTATCGTGAGATTTGTCGAGGTTTGATCTGAGCACGTAATGTTTAACTATTCACCTGATTTCACTTCTCGTTCCGTGACTAATTTTAAATAACGTGCGCGTTTCTCGCACTCGCAAAATCTGCATCTATACAACCTCGAGCCATAGTTTACGGGCCACACGGTGGTTCCTGTATTTTTGCATGCTTTTCGACGCATCGTAAACGCTGTCCGCCGCCAGCATTAACTACTACTACACTTTACCGATGACGACGACGACGACGACGACGACGACGACGACCATTCAAATCGAACGTTCAATAATTATCTGTCTCTTGTTTGAATAACTTAATTGAAAAAGATCGTCAGTCACTTGGTTTAACTGGTCCTCTTGTCCGAAACGAAACAGATCGGAGCAAGTGCGCAATAACCAGGCAACCATGGCGTCCAAGAAGTATGACTTGTCCAAGTGGAAGTATTCGGAGTTACGAGATGCTATAAACACGTCCTGTGACATCGAATTGTTAGAGGTAAACAAGAGAGTTCTTTCGTCGTCGAATACAGACGATGCGAGGCCGACGTTCGCCAGACCATACGACCATCATTCGATTCGTGAAACATTTGTTTAAAGGCTTGTCGTCACGAGTTTCACCGAAGATTAAAAGTGTATCATGCGTGGAAAGCGAGAAATCGAAGACGGACCACCATGGATGAGAACGAAAGAGCACCGAGGTCTATCATGGAAGCTGGTAATAATCGTGTGGCCTTCCGGTCGCCGCACGTTTTAGCGTCACTGACGACGACGTACACACGTATATTTGAGAGATTCGTCGCGATTAATGGATAATGAAATTTATCTCAGCCGCAAGGACACCGAGAACTACGATGAAACAGCCCATAACGGAGTCCACGCAGAGATACTTTAGGATCCCTTTCGTGCGGTCAACGGCGAATGGCCAACAGGAGAATCACGCGTCCAGTAAGCGAGGATGGTGGTATGCCCACTTCGATGGTCAGTACGTTGCCCGACAAATGGAACTCCACCCTGACAAACCACCGATTCTACTGGTAGCAGGTAACACAACTTTGATCATTGTTCGAGAACGTTTCGTCCGAGAGCACCTAAAAAATTACATCGTTGCGCGAGCTTGACGAACCGTCGTTGGTCATCATCGTTCAACTTCGATTCGCGTAATAAATCGCAGTTTAACGATGATGACCAATGATGATCTAACGATGTAATAATTACGATTGACGGGTAAATGGGAACGCTGCCAGAATGTTTTGTCACCGCGATTGAAAATCGAGTGGGTGTTAAACTCGACCGTGATCCGCGTTGAACGAGCGTGCTTGTTGGAAGCGGAAGAGAACGCACGGCTGCGCGTGTGCGTGTTCATGCGACGGTATAAGTAGCAATCGTCGCGGTTTCGCCTATAAAGACAATACACGTCGTGGAGGTAAGCCGCACCAAAGTGTCTCTTGCTTAGAGAGAGAAAAGAGATCGGTTGTGCCGTCTTGTCTAGTGACGCATGCAGAATAGAGTCGAACGTCGCCTGCACCCGCAGGTCATAAAATGTTTGTATCTCGTTCAACAATACAAACTTGTGCTTTATAATTCCAAACAATTACTTTTGATTATATTTTATCGCAACACAAAAATATTTGTAGAATACGTAGAACGTTAAACTACGCACAAACGATTTACCCTTGAAAATAATCAGTTTATCATGATACATTCTTATTCGATGCTCTATATCATTTAATTTGTCGATTTCGTGTTTTAAACGCTTATCTATATACATTAATCTTGAACGATAAGATAAATAATTCGTTACCGGTGATCATATTGTCCCGACGAGTCATCTGAGATAGACGATGGCTTAAAGTATCCGTTACAAGTTTATAATTGATATTTTTCGTTAATAACAAATCCTAGCAATGCCGCAATATTTCTTCGGTACAGTGACATGTTAAATTCGACGTCGCCACCAGCAAAATTCAACTTACTCCCCCGTTCTTTAAGAATATAAATTTCGATTTGCTGGTCCGTTCAACATGCAATATGCGCAAGTCCTCGTCATTTTGAAATCTTTTAATAATCGAACTGCCTAGATTTCATCGTAACTACACTATGTAATATTGAATTTTACAATTGTAAAATTACAAGTACAAATATTATGATATAACTGTGAAGCTGTTGCTACTGCGCAGTGACATTAGAGAATGACAGACCGACGGTACGACCGATTTTCTGTCTGTTTTTCGATCGCGGGCCGTTTCCATTTGCACGGGTGCCTATAGCTCACCTACTCCGTGTGTATTGTTCTCTACATATAGTAAGTATATGGTTTCGCCTCCTCGAGTTTGTCAAGGGAAAATTGATTTCTGTCGAAAAGGTGTCGACGACATGCAAATGTGCGAGCTCAGCCTAGACGAGACTGGACTGACCAGGAAACGCGGGGCCGAGGTGTTGGAGCACGAATTCAATCGCGAGTGGGAGAAACACGGAGGTAAACTGTACGTTCCACCGTGCGATCGTAAGAAATAACAACTGGCTAGTAGGTACACAGCGCGTCGACAGTCACAGGCGATAGTAGTTTGTTGAGATGTTACAAATTTTTTTATTATTCGAGAGTGAGCTCGCAGCACAGTGCCTTACTAGTTAGAATTCGTGCCTTACCCACGACAAAGGCAGCTCTTCCGTAGACCACTGACACGAACCTTTTCGAATTAGCCGTTGTTAATCGATCTCTTTTCCTAAGCTGTTCCAAGCATAATTGCGTATTTTTATGAATCGGTCGATGCGACGACCACGCGATACTTGTGGCAGAAATTCGTTCGTTCAGTATTCGAGATCCCGATCGAGAAAATCGTATGGAAAATTGTTTTTTTAATCCTAAGGAATAGATTCGTAGAGACAGAGAGAGA